CGTTAAATTTTTTCGCCTCGTTTACTACTTTGGCATTCGGAATCGCATGAAACTGCTTCGAAGAAGAGAAAGAACTTCGAGTTTGACGTCAGACGGCTAGCGTTAGCGCACGTACATACATATGTACATACATATATATGTACTTACACGTTTCTCTTGTACGAGTTGGTATCAACGAGTCGTGAGAAAAATTTCGACGAATCTTCGGCTCCTTCCGATGAAATCGTTCAAGCGAAGGAAAAACCATCTCGTCTGCCTTTTCCTTGACTAGTGGATGTTGTCTAGAATCGAAGCTGTTTCACTCGAATCTCCATCGATATATATATATAACATATATATATATATATATATATATATATATACATATATATATATATGTATAATTTATATACAAATAAGATCGACGATCGATCGGCCAAAGGTATTCGATTTACCAAGGCCTCCACATGCTCTCTTCATCCTTAACGGCCTGTTGACCGAGCTGCGATGGGGATGGCATTCCAACAGCGATTTCACTACCCGCATGACTAGAGGGTCTCTCCTCGTGAACAATCGCACCGTCGGTTGTCGTTCGCGAGGGTGGTATCTGCTGTTGTTGCTGTTGCTGTTGATGTTCGACACCCGGTATACCGTGAATGGAGGTCCTTGAGCCTGTCTTCAATTTCTTCGAATTGGTAGTAAAGTCAAGAGGCTGTTCAGGTTGATCTTGCATTCGAGGGCTCTTACTAGGTTTCACACCAGTCGCGGTTTCCTGCCAATCCTGCATCTCTTCGTGAGGTCTTTTGGCTAGTTTATCCGTTGCCTTGAGCAAGGACATGTTGGTAGCTGCCCAAATTGCAGTTGGTGGATTCGGTCCGATACTGATGCCGTTCGCCGCAGCCGCTGCAGCGAGTTGGACGTAGTGACTAGGTAGAAGGAAAACTACCTGGCCATCAGGTAGTCTTGAAGGTATCACCTGAACGACCGACAGCATATTCGGATTTTGCTGTGACGTTGAGGCTTGATCGACCGGTATACCGGAAGGGTGATGGGGATCCAGACCAGCTGGATTTACTTGACTGAATGCCGACGTCGGTCTGCTACTGTTGTTGTTCTCGTCTCCGGCCGTCGTGCTACTATCCGGCCTGGCCGTCTCCATCTCCGGTATCTCGGACTTTATCAGGCCAGCTGGGTTCAAGGCCGTACTGCAATGAGGCGTCGGTGGCACGTGGTGATCCAAAGGACCAGGACTCGTAGCTCCGGTCACACGATCCGTCACGCTACCCGGACTGCTACCCAATCCGCTGTCAGGCCTCGATCCAAGATCTAGATCAAGCTCGGACACGCAACTGTCCAGATGACGAAGTAACCTCTGTTTCACTGCCGGGTCCATCGGCGTCGTATTGCCCGTAATGATGTCTGGGGCATCGAGATATCGACTCACCTGAAACATGATCAATGCGGAACATGTAAGATGACGGAACAAATGGATTACTACGTCCTGTAAAATCAGTTCATTATATTGACCATGGTATTGTTCGAATGATTTTCTTCGGAGAAGAATCGACATGGCATCGGAACGTTAACGTTTTAATACGAATTCCACGGTAGATTGCTTGCTATATTATTGTCGGGAGTACGGCGTAATTGAATATTTCGCCGACTGCTCTTTAATCCCTGATTCGTGAGCGCGTGTTAACGGCGGTGGGCCGCGACCAGCCACGAGATTAGTCGTTACTCGATATTTTCGCGGCCGCTTGTAATTTATTTAATAGTCGTAACGATAACACACACCCGTCGCGATAAAAAAAGTCTCCTGTTAATTACGTTGCTATACGTTTCTATTCGAAAAGATGCAAAATATACCGATCGGTCTTCGATTTTTATATATAATGTTCTCTTTACATTTACTCTTTTCCGTATCGAAAGGTACTTAGAAAACTTGATTAATTTTAATTTACTAAAAATGTGAATCTTTCTTTTTTTCTTTTTCTTTAAATCAATCACATTGTAGAAAAATACGTGACGTTTGTAATTATAAACATCACGGTAGCAAAGATCGATTCCCCCCTTAATCGGAACACGACGTTCAGAATTGGTGATCCGCCTCCAACTTTAACCCACGCGCGATATATATTAAAACGTGGGGTGTTCGAGCGCGCGCGCGCGCACCCGCGTCACGTTCGCGTGTGGGTGCGTGCTGGGGCCGCGAGTTTTGCTGACGGCTAAAATATCGACTCACGCGCGCACAGCACGTTCGACTAAACTTCTACGGGCTCGTTTCGAGACGCTGCCTGGCTCTCTACGATCCCGAGCTTTTATGGTTCGCTAGTTCAAAATAAAGCAATAACCGAATCCGGTGTTGGAGAAGTTTGCGCGTTCTGGAGTACTTCTAGACTACTGCCACGTTCGTTCCGATCTGGTTTGTTAAGAGAAAGAAGGAAAAAAAAAACAAAAAAGAAAAAAAAAAGAAAGAGAGAGAAAAGAAAGGGAGAAAAAAGAAAAAAGAAAGAAAGAAAAGAGAAAAAGAGTTCGCACACGAAGTGTGCTCTTTTAATAAATTTACCGTGAAAACGAGCTGTCGACAATTGAGAATAAATGATTTATATTTAATGTTCTATCAATGCTGCACATTTTCTATGTTTGTTTTGTTTTTTTGTTTCTTCATATTACATCTATTCATATTTATATCGTAGGAGAGTTTTATTGTTATAATTTCTTTTTTATCTTATTATTATTATTATTATTATTATTATTATTATTATTATTATTATTATTATTATTATTATTATTATTATTATTATTATTTCGTTATAATTTATTGATTTTTAATAATAAAAAAGAAAAAAAAAAAAGAAAAAAGAAAATGAAGTATGTAAAATAGTACGCTCGTCGATAATTCAATTCGATAATTTTTGTTCATTTAAAAATTGCGCCTAACTAGGAAACGTGGATCTTTTGTCATTGATATAGAAACGCGATTGGAACCGGAGAGAAACAAAACGGAATCGGAGTGGAACGGAAATGGACCAATGGACAAAAGCGTATGGCGTCATATCTCATCGCTTCACTGTTCGCTTTACGAGCCCGTAAAGTTTGCTTCAAGGAGAGCCTTCTTCGTGGCTCTGTACCCTCTTATTCTCGAGCACACCGAGACGTGACTTTGCTTGAAAGTTTGCCCCTTCGTCGTCGTCGTCGTCGTCATCGTGGCGTCGTTCCATCGTCCATCTCCTTTCTCTCTCTCTCTCTCTCTCTCCCTCTCTCTTTCTCTCTCTCTCTCTCACTCATTCTTTCTCGCTCTCTTCACTTTCCGAAAGTGCCGTATGAACACGTTCGTAGAAAATTTTTCACCTACTTGGATCACACCGGTAAGAAAAACAACAGATACTTTTTCTTTTATAAATCCTTTGATCAATTAAAAAAGAATAAAAAAAGAAAGAAAAAGAAAAAACCTATCGAATAATATTTAAGAATAAAATTGTCCTGATTATGTTATATAAGTGATTCTCAATTTCGACTTTTCTCTCGAATTTTTCGTATATTTTTATTATTGTTATAAACACATTGATACACACACACACACACACACATCATATCATTTTAATCTTAGGTATAGATATAATTGTTAAGATAAAATAATTCATTTATTGCTAGAATTTTAATATTTTAAATAGTGAATAACTGAAAAGTGAGTGCAATAGTTCTTTTTTTTTTCTTTAGTTACAAGAATGATCAATGAATGACGTGTGGTTGATACAATATTACGATTATCGAAATTATTGCTTTCGATTAACGAATTCATTCTAGAAGTTGTCGTTAACAGTAATTATAGTTGGCAGTGAATAGCTAAAAGTATATATCTATAACATAAATTCTCGTGATAATATTTATTGTATATTTTGCCTTGACTCCGTGTCTTCTTTTCTATATACATACTGGATATCTAGGTATCTGAGGTAAACAACATAAAATTTTGACCTCCGCGTGATCTGCTTTCTCGATCAGTAGAAATTTAGCAACACTCGAGGACGCATCGTATAAAAAGGACAAAGACGATACGACGTCGCTTTACAAGAAAATATCATTTATAGATATTAATTTTATGTATCATTGGTTTTCAAGATATCTTTTAAATATGGTTAGCTTTATTATTTCTTCAAAATTAAATCGGATAATCGTCGAATTACGAGAATGAGTGAGAAAGAGAGAATGAGAGTGAGAGAGTGATTTTCTTTTTGAATTTATGATATTTAGCGTGTGACGAAATATATATATTTTTTTAATACATATATATCGAACACTTATGTATTCCTAGATATGATATCTAAATAATGTATAATTTTATTTTATTACTAATTATGTTAAAGGAATACACATGGAGACGTGAGAAACGTTTTATTTTTAAGGAAAGAATGTTATATCATCTAGGAGTCATATAATATAAATAATCAACGACAGATGGCGCGTCGATAGAAGAATTAGTTTCGATCGTAATAAATCACATTCGGTGATGTTATCCGTAGAATAATTCTTTTATTTTATCAATTGTCGTTGATCATAGTTTCTTGAAGATCTTCAATTAGTGTTCAATCAAATAGAAAAATAGATAAAATTCAAGGGACAATACTGACGAAGAGAATCAATGTGTATATATATGTTTTTGTTTATATGCATAAAGTGTTACGCGTTTTGTAACTTAGGTTAGCTTTGTTATAAAGTAAGGTTAGGTTTGTTGAAAAATACGCTACAAACGCGTACACCTGTTCGTATAGAAAAAAATACGATCTTTACATCGTTTCTATTTTTCTTTTTTTTTTTTCTTTTTTGTTACATCACTAGTGCATACGTCCTGGTATTACTACTCCTTCGTGCCATACGTGACAAGGAATACAGAAGAATCATTTGTATGGTGATCAAGAGCAACATATTTTCTCGATTTAATGACGCTTTGCTAGTAATGGCTCTCATCGATATAGAACAAATCGTATGTTGGGTGAGTACAAACGATAACAAGAATATATATTTCTTAAAACTTTTGTTCTATTTATCGATCTTATTATTATCATTAATTTTCGAACTAAAATTATTTATATTATACATATGTATGTCTAATTGTATATACATACATATAGATTACAATATCGTGTATATGCCATTTGAGACTAATTATTTATAAATTTTATATCGTACGAACGAATACCAGGTGAATTGTAAAATACGTCTAAAAAATTTTATTTCATTTATTACTATTATTTATTTTTTACTATTAAAACTATATATGTAGAATACTATATATATACATATATATATATATATATATATATATATATATATAATTATATATAGATTTATATAATTTAAAATCTATTTAAATATTTCATGTTCGACGAATTAAATAAAATGAAACTTATTATTTTACGTTAAACCAGTCTACAATATAACAATAACATACAGGGAATTTCGAAATTCTTATTAGAAATTCTTATTAGAAATTCTTAGGTCTTATATAGAAAAGGAGCAGAGTAAATAAAGTTTTGTATAAGAATCCATATCTGAGCGTCCATTTTCTCAAGGATTTATATATAAATCTTCACAGAACGAAAAGGTTAAATATTTTTAATCGTCATTTATATAAAACTATCGTGTACATGAGCGACCGGTAATCACGAAAGTGTGATCTAAGTTACAAAATTAATAATAATAGTAATAATAATAATTGAAAAAAAAAAACACTTTATTACGTAATGCGTATGGCAATGATTTATTTTTTTTTCTATTCTTTTCTTTTTTTTTCCTTTTTTTTAATTTGATTGCACTTATGTCGTACTTTCATAACAATTGATTCAATTATAGAAAATAAGAAATAAATGAATAAATAAATAAATAAATAAATAAATAAATAAAGAATTAAAAAAATATATATATAAAAGAAATAAAAAAGTTTGTAAAAAACTATAAAAAAAAAAAAATGAACAAAAAAGAATATATATATATATGATAGGATAAAAATAATATATATGTATATATGTATATATATATATAAAAAAGCAAAAAAAAAAGGGATGAAAAGAAAAAAGAAAAAAATACATGGAAATTAAGAGAGCAGGAAATAGAAAGGAAGGAAGCATTAAATTTTCACGCAGTTGATCGTTCGTCCATCCGTCCGTCAGTTCGTCCGTCCATCCGTCCGTCCGTCCATCCAACCAACCGTCCATTCGTCCATCCATCCGTCCGTTCATCCATCGGTTTGTTCGTTTCGCCGCAGCAACGTTCGCGCGTTTATTTTCTTCCACTCGCGATTTACGGCCGTAGCCGTCGGTGCTTCTTAATCGCGACGCAGCGTCAGCCACGCTCGTAGTTTTGCGATAACCGACGCCACCAGTAATCTCGCTTACATGCGAGAAGCGGCGGCGGAGATGTTGGCGGAGGTGGTGGCGGAGATGGTGGCAGAGGTGGCAGAGGTGGTGGCAACAGCAACAGCAACAACAGCACCAGTACCAGTACCAGTACCAGCAGCCGAAAGGAGTTCGAACGATCGTCTGTCTTTCTCTCTTTTTCGTTACGAGCATAATATGTGCATGTACGTATATATATATATATATATATAGATATATATACGTAGTACGTACTTAACAGTGGAGAACGACCAAGAATCGCTTGCACGTTCGCGCATCGTTTCAACAAAAAGAAACGAGACTTCTTTTAACTGATCATTTTACTCACCCATTTTCTTTTTCTCTTTTTTCATTTTTTTTCTTCTTTTCTTTTCTTTTTTACTTTGTAGTTTTTTAACATCGAAACCTTTATTTCTATAGTGGTATGTAAACATTCTCCCGTTCATACTCGAAAATACAATGGAGGAAACCAGAGATTTTTTTTTTTTTTTTGAATATCTTTGCGAACTTCACAGACTGTATATATATATATATGTATATATGTCAAACCTTTTCTATTTCGATTGGAGGTCTATCAGGTATCCAGGTGATTACATTTAACAAAATGAACCTTTATATTTGCTTTATATATGTATATATATATATATATATATATATATATATATATATCCTCGATTTTTATGTTCGAAAATATTCTATTCTCTAAACATCCCTTTTCATAGCTTTATGTATTTTTATTACCACTCCGTATACATATGCATATATATTACGTATTTAGGTAGCATGAACTAGCCAACTTTCAGTTTGATTTAATTTAATTAAATTTAATTAAATTTAATTTAATTTTTTTTTTTTATTTATTATTTATTTATTTATTTATTTATTTATTTATGCACAAGCACTCGGGAGCCTTTCTGAACGTTTTCTCGTGCGTTATGTAAAGCATCATTAGTCGAGTTTGCTTGCACGAACGTCGTCCATCCTGTCTCGAACGATTGCGATAATCGTTGCGATTCTCTCTCTCTCTCTCTCCTCTTTCCTCTCCTCCCCCTCTCTCTCTCCTCTTTCCTCTCCTTCTCCTTCTCCCTCTCTGCTTTTATATACTTCCCCCATTTCCGCATTTCCA